GCCATAATTTTAAATTTGCCGCCACACATCTGTAATAACTTGTATATTTGCTTCAAGTTACTTTAATTCAGATTTTTATTTGTTTATATTAAATTTGTGATATTTAAATAATTGCATTGATTCAAAACGTTTAATTTGATTTCATTTAAAATTCATTCAAAGTTTTTTTTGGATCTTAGCATTAAGAAGGTCTTCAACCTGCGCAACTTAGTCTCAGCTTTTGTTTCTTTTTTTTTTTTGTCAGTGAAGAAATAAATAATTTTGTGTCCTCCATAAATTTTGTGTTTTATTTAGCGGCACTTTTCCAATCTTGGGGTCCACCATTTGCATCTGAACGCATCGCGCCATTTTTAAAAAACACAACGTAGGGTTTCATTTTGTTAGACGATCACAGCAATTGAATTTTTAAATTTTTCGTGGGCTTTCAATTTTTTTCCACATCAATTTAAATCGGGATGTTTGGGTTATCGCAATACCAATGTCAGTTCATTTTATCACACAGAACAAAATCATTATGGACTTCTTATGTGCCTCTGTCACTTTCTCCTGCCGCATTCTGAGATGAGGATAAAAATTTAAATATAATAAAGGCACCAAAATTTATGTTGTCATTGTTTAGATTTGTATTATTCGTGTATAATTGGACATGCCCAGTTCAACTGCTGATATCTTTCCACCAATAATGTTAGGATTTTAAAAGATAACAAGAGGATCGCGCATTTTTACAACTCCATCTGTTCGGTAAACTGAGTATAGTCACGCAAAATTTAAATCAACGTTTCTTTTGTGATTATAGACCGACCGAATTATTTATAAAATGCCAAATTACTACACTCAACTGACATATAACTGGAGGGATGATAGGATGACACTCGTAAATCTAAATAGGGTGATTTCGAAAATATCTGCAATCATTGTAAAGTATATAGAAATATAGAAAAAATAGATTAAAAGTCGAATGGGGCAAAACTCCCAAGCACCGCCCTCTATGCGATGCCATTGATCCACTTTTTAAAGAGTAAGTGGAAAAAACATTCAACTAAAAACGATGTAGACAATTTCAGTTTTAATTAAAAAAAAAATTGTTAAAAGTCAGTGCGAAAGATTATTAGTTGTAGAAACAAGTGGTGGTCCTGAAAAGGACTGATTTTTGGTAAAAATTCGGGGTACTGTGCCGCATTTAGTCTCTCTGGTAAAACATAAGGTCCAAATAAGCGGCCATTTACGATACTGGCCCACAGATTTGTGGAAAACTGTCATTAAAATCGTACTTCTTGACCAGTTTGTGGATTTTCATCGGACCAAATGTGAGTGTTGCGGCTGTTGAAAACAGCATTGCGACTGAATCCTGCTTCATCGGTTTAAACACAATGTAATTTAAAAAATTTATATTTTGTACGTTGCTTATTAGTGCGCTTCTTTTTTGGTTTTTAATCCTAGTCCTTCTGTGCCATTTATTGAATAGTAGCTATGGTAGGTCAAGAACAACTACCAGTGGTGTGTATAACAATGTATATTTAATTTCAAATAATTTTTGTAATAATATAATAAATATATTCATTTTACCAAAATATCTCACAAACTCGATCTCTTTTGAAAAACTTCATACAATTATCTACTGTGCAGCTTTAACTTGTATTCAAATTAACACATGTAAAGATAACATAATAAATACAAACAACAATCGCATACCCTCCACCCCTCATTGGGAAACACGGTTAAATTATAAAATTAATAACATTAGAAAACAACTGGGTCAAATAACACAGTACCTTAGAGGAGTTAAAACACCACACATCATGACATGTATGCATTCGATACTGACCAACAATAATTTTCATCAAACTGATTACGATGAGTACAACACAACACTATCCGAAATTAAAGATACACTATTACAAAAGCTTTCCTTATATAGCAAAAGACTTAAAAGATACAAACAATCACATCTCAGAAAAATTCATAACACTAAATTTTTAAACAACGAAAAACTATTCTATCAACATTTAACTAATTCAAGCAAAACTCAATTATCCGGTGAACTACCAAGTTCACAAGATGTAACAACATTTTGGTCAAAACTTTGGTCTCAAGAATTTGAATTTAACCAATCTGCCAAATGGATTCCTCATATATATAATAAACTATCCACAGTTACACCAATGAATGATCATCAGATAACACTTGCCGAATTAATAAATACCATCAATAAGACACACAACTGGAAATCACCAGGACCAGACAAAATCCATAATTTTTGGATAAAAAAATTAAATTGTGTACATATTCATTTACTACATCACTTAAATCAGTTCCTTCTTGACCCATCCTCTTTTCCAACATTCTTATGTCATGGTGTAACATACTTAAAACCTAAAGATAACGACACAAAAAATCCATCAAAATACAGACCTATCACATGTTTACCGACAATCTATAAAATATTAACCTCATGCATTACACAAAAAATATATCAACACTGTTTTAACTCTGACATCATTAATGAAGAACAGAAAGGATGTATTAAAGGATCCTTTGGCTGCAAAGAGCAATTAATCATAGATTCCATCATCTGTGAACAAGCTAGAAAAGAAAACCGAAACATATATACTGCTTTTATTGATTATAAGAAAGCTTACGATTCTGTCCCTCATTCCTGGCTATGCAAAATTCTGGAATTATACAAGATTGATACTAAAATCTGCACTTTTCTCAAATGTTCCATGGAATTTTGGAAGACCACCCTCCAAATAACCTTAAATGAACAAACAATTCAGTCAGACCCAATAATGATCCGAAGAGGAATTTTTCAAGGCGATTCTTTTAGCCCGTTATGGTTCTGCTTAGCAATAAATCCCCTCTCCGATATCCTGAACAGCTGCAATTATGGGTTCAATATAAGAATTAACAAACAAAGAGAAAACAGAATAAGTCACTTGCTGTATATGGATGACATAAAAATATATGCAAGTACACAAAATCAGTTAACAAACCTATTAAATCTGACTGAACAATTTTCCGGTGATATTGGTATGTCCTTTGGTATTGAGAAATGTAAGACCCAAGCAATCAGAAAAGGCGTGTTTCACCAAGTACCACATATAACACAGAATAAGGAAATAATTGAAGCCCAAGAACGAAACGATACATACAAATATCTGGGTTTCTGTCAATCCTCCCACATCAATCATACCAAAACGAAAACACAGTTGAAAGATCAATACGTAGCGAGATTAAAATTAATATTGAAGACACAGTTAAATGGAAAAAATTTAATGAAAGCAGTAAATACATTCTGCGTTCCACTGCTAACATATTCTTTTGGAGTCATTAAATGGTCCAAAACTGATCTTGAAAATTTAAACATCGCAACAAGGAAAATCTTCACACAGTATAGAAGGCATCACCCAAAATCGTCGATTGAAAGATTCTCATTACCAAGACAGAATGGAGGAAGGGGTTTCCAGAACTTAGAAAACTTATATCAGAGACAAATCTCAGATTTGAAGAAGTATTTCTTGAAACGAGCGGAAAGAAATGAAATGTTTCGCACCATCACAAGAGCAGATTTGAACCACACACCCTTAAATCTGTCGAACACCGAAGAAATCCACACCCCCCACACAATAGATAAAATAATAAGTGGACTAAAACAAAAACAACTACATGGAAAATTCTACAAAGACTTAGAAGAAAATCATGTCAATAAGAAGATGTCATTGATTTGGTTAAAAAAATCAAGTTTGTATGCCGAAACAGAAGGATTTGTGTTTGCTATTCAAGACCAAGTAATCAATACCAAGAATTATAGAAAATACATCATCAAAGATCCGAACATAAAAAACGACTGCTGTCGCCTATGCAAAGCAAAACCTGAAACGATCCAGCACATAATCTCTTCTTGCAGCATCCTAGCACAAACTGATTACAAAGCTAGACACGACAACGCAGCCAAAATCATTCACAAAGAATTAGCAACACTTATGAACTTAATCGAAGATACGACACCCTATTACACTTACATTCCGTCTCCATTCCTTGAAAATAACAAATACAAATTATACTGGGATCGCACAATACTTACAGACTTAAACATTACAGCTAACAGACCAGACATCATACTTATCAAAAAACACACGAACGAAGCCATTCTCATTGACATTGCTATTCCTAACACAAACAACATTATTCAAACATACGACACCAAGATTTCAAAATATCTACAATTATCGATAGAAATGAAATCCATGTTGAATCTTAAAAAAATTTCAATTCTACCCCTAGTTATCTCTAATGTAGGTGTAGTTCCAAATAGCTTAGTTGAGAATTTAAAGTCTTTGCATTTGAATGATTCAATAATTGTCAAAATTCAAAAAGCTGTTTTGTTAGGAACATGTCATATTGTTCGTAAGTTTCTTGAACAGTCTGATCATGTCAGTCAGATTAGATTAGCACCAGTAGGTCAGAGTAGTGTAGGTCACTTTTCATGTGATGCGCGGATAAATGGTCGGTAGTTACGCTGGACTTTTGGGGATGGGGTGAGATTAGAGAATAATAGCAGACTAATTTGTATGCTGTAATTCTAGAATCTCGAAAGTTGTTCTGTTAATCTAATCAATGCATATCATTACTTGGTCTTAGTACCCGTAATGATAGAAGTCTTGCCTGAATGCCGGTCATTTCCGGGTCAGTGGTGGGTCTTAAAGCAATTTTAGATATTTTTTTTTTGTTAGTTTAACTAAATTCCTACTTTTTCTTATAAACATCTTCATGAAGCAAGATTACTTGTAACTATTACCTTTGTTTTATTTTTGACTTTGGTACCATACTATAATATGCGATAATTGTAGATTTATTTTTTAATCCCAGCACTCTACTAAATGAGACGCTACTGTGAATTGACGCGTGCTGTATATTTGGTTGCATATATCATTCAACTCTACCGATCCGGTCACGTCAAAATATGAGGGCGCCACGTGTAAACTTCAGTTCACGTGACGGCACAGAAAGGTTCTATTTGTGTTTCACTAAACTCAGTCTGCCACAACACACGAAAGGAAGGTTGCAGTGTAAATTAAAAAAAGTCAGTTACCCGCAAAAACCCTAAAAACCGTCCCTTCAGTCGTACACGAGTGTGAAATCAGTGGCAGTGTGTGTTCACATCATGTTTCTGGACGCGGCGGCCCCCAAACAACGGATTGTTATGTGATTTCGGTAGGCAATGAACACATTATTGTGCATGTTTACGCAATAATTAGTCCCAACATCCGACGGATTTACGAATTTTTGCACCTGATCGACGTTTCGCCCACTGTCATTTTGTGGTATGCCAAACGTCAAGAATGACGTCAAGTTGGCCGCCCCCGCTTCTCTCACTTACGAAAAAAATATAATAATGTAAATTTTTCTCGCTGTAAATATCTCGCGCTCAAACACGACAAACAAGCCTAATAATATTTTTATAAAATAAATTATCTACGCCGAGGCAGGCGGCTTTGAACTGGCGAAATTTTCGTTGTTTTTTTTCGGGTCGCAGAACACTGCACCACATCCGACAGAGATGCGCTATTTTTATCTGATCCTACCTGTTTTTCTGCTTTTACTCAATCAAATCCTTGACCCCGAGGTCGACTTCCTGCGGTGCATTGTTTTTCCCAAAACGCGCTGCACGCTCCGGAGCGCATATACAGCGTGGTTCCGCAACATGCGACAGAAACACAAACCTAGGAAAGGGTATAGACCGCGTTTTTGAGTTTCTAGTGTTTTTATTGAGAGGGTTGGTAACAATGTTTGGATTTATTTCCCACGAAACTCCAGAAGTTTACATTTGTCGGCAAGTATTCCTTCTTTAATTAACAAGTTCATTGAAATCGGAAAATTATTTATATAGGGGATTATTTTTAAAATGTAACCTTTAAACATAAAGTACGTGTTTTTTTTTTGTCAAAAGTCTACCACCTGTTGCGTTCTGCTGAACTAAATGAATTCCCTTATGGCATAGGGGAAGTCGTATTGGATTTAACAGTTGCAATACTTATACTGTCACCTCATATGTCACTTATCTGTCAATGTGGGCAACTCTTTGCTCTATCGTTAGAGAAGATACAAATTGTATTAGGGAAGAAGAGAAATCTTATGAATGTGAAATTGAAAAACGTTCTACGTTCTAATACTATGTTCTTAAGATTTAAAGAATTTAGCGCTTTCTTTAAGTAGTCGACAATTATAGTGGCCATAAACAATCTGAAAATTTGCCACTGCAACTAAGAGGGCCTATTTTAATTTGTACTAATTACTTCAGCTGTTCTCGTTCACTGCTTTACAAAATTTTGAAACCTGTATAGGCTATAAGTATAAAACAGGAAATATTACGGATTAAATTTTTAACAACATACATTAAGTATAAAGACGACTACACAAATATCAGGTTGGTTATTTAGATGAAACGTGGGGTTATAAAAACGGATCTCCCACTAAAACGTGGGTTAATGATAGTGTTCCAACAATAAATTATAAGGTACAGCCAGAAGGTGGAAGGTTCAGTGTTATTTGCAGGACCCTCTTCATTTTTTTTGCTTTTAAAATCAAACAACCATGACAGAGATGATCACAAAACCATAAATGGTGATCTTTTCAAGCAGTGGGTACAAAATTATTTAATCCCTGCGTGGACATTTGATGGGTTTTAAAACAATTATTACAATGGATAATGCACCTTATCGCTCAGGTTTATTGACGTACGTTTTCTTGTGAAACTCCAGTGTAGAATTTTTTGACACATATTTAAAAATCTGATAGATGTCTTAAGACTGCCAATATAACCAGATTTAGATTTTTTTCAGAGTTTATAGAGTTTCAATTTAAAAATTAATAACTGAGGGAAACTCCTTGGTACTTCCAGCTTTCAGTTTCTGCATTTTTATTTTCAATTTTGATAGGCAGTTCAATAAGCTCCACTTGTACACAACTAAAACCTAGCCTCCTTTCTGTTTGTGGTTATTGTTATCACTAAAGCTTGTTATCTTGCCACGTATATTTTTGAGAGGAATTGCGACGTTGGCGGACTTTTGAAAGAAAAAATGTGCTTGCAAACTACAATACTTGTGTGCGAACTTGGTGTCAAAATTTTACAAGGGAAATGCTATTTAAATTTCATAAAATAACATAATTTTATGTTTGTGGTTCATCAATTCGCTTCTATTTTTTGTCCTAGACAACCAGATTTTTAAAATTTCATATTGGCAGTGTGTACGAACTCCGTACTTGATCAACGACATACGCAGTACTTTATACAGTGTGTTAATAAATGATTTATAGTGGGCTATGAAATTCATTTATTAATACGACATTTTTAAATTAATCACATAATCGGTCAACCAGTTTGAGTCAAATTTGAACGTTCATCTCTTTAGAAGATCTATTTATTACCAAAATATATTTTCTGTCTGGCCAAAAAACTGCATTTTAAGTGACAAATTTTTTGACATCCTGTCTGTAGCCCTTTAGATGTAGATCATTTATTGACAGATTTATTGTTATAAAATTTCAAATATAACCTGCCCATTGCTTTTACTGTATAACGCCTGGGCAGTTTTTTAAAACAGTGTATTGTAGTCTTCTTTTTTGGTGAAATTTTTCACCACACATTTTTAAAAATCAATATAACAATCATTAAAGTATATTTCAGATTGCGATTTTTGTCACTGTTTTCACCTTACAAAACTTTGTGAATCGTCGACTTTTTTTGTTCGTAGCTTCTTCGACACAACCTTCTTTTACTGTATCATTTCCGACAAAAAAAGTCTGTCATGTTTTTGATACGATTTATAGAGTTGTATAAGTTCAAAACAGTGGTGAAAACCGCGTTCCGAAATTTCGATAAATAATTGAGATATTGTTTTTTAAAAATACTTGCTAAGATTTCGTCAAAATTAAAAAAAAGAGATTATAATATCGCGTTATATAGAGAAAGTCCTGCTATCAAAACTAATACACCTCAAGTTACTACTCGATGCGCAAATGTTTTTTGAACATACGACGTAGCTAACATCGTACATTGCACATCTGTCAGTGTCAAACTCGGTCTGTCACTTCTATCATTGCTCCCATTTGTAGACTATCTGTCACTATTCGAATTATCGATCTAACCCACGGTTGTAGAATAGATAGGTTTGTACACTAATGGCTTGGGATGGCGACGCTTCTTTTCGATCCCTATATCCATGGAAAGGACACAGACAGCTAGCGCCTCTATCTTGTCGAGCGGAAATCGTTCTAGTTATTTTGGGGATTTTCGTTTACATTGCTTTATGAACAAAACAAAATTTGTAAATGACATTTGATCGGAGTCGATAAGTACGATTTCTTTTATTAATTACATCGGTTATAGACAGATGCCTATAGAGTTCTGTGTCCCTAAAACGTCAAAAACCAGGCGACGCGATCGGCAATTGGCGTCGCTGACCAGGGATATGCAAATGTATGCTAGTGTATCAACCTATCTATTCTACAACCGTGATCTAACCTCAAATTATTGTTACGACGATAGCTACGCCATACGTTCAGAAAACATTTGAGCATCAAGAAGTAACTAGAGGTGTTTTTTATTTGATCGCTCGTTATATACTTACATTGTGAGATATTAGATTTTTTCTTAAAAGTATTGACAACGGTATTCTTTTATTATATAAGAGGTTTGGGAGGAGCGGTTAGATAATATCCTATTTTTTTCCACTCGAGAAGTCGTAAGAGTTTATTACGTAAGATTTGATTGCAGTAAAATTGTAAGCACAAATACTAAATAATAAAGGGTATGTGAATAGAATAAAATAAATCGTTTTAAATATAACATAGAATAGAGATGAGATAAAATTATTAGACTAGACTAGAAATGAATTATACTTTTCTATTTAATTAATTTTATAAAGTTATAACATAATAATTGATATTTGAAGTATAATGTTTAAATAAAAATGTTTGTTGTAAATATTAAATCAACATATTTTTATTAATTTCAGTTAAGATTAGTACATATGTATCAGAAATGTTTTTATATTACACAAGATTGGGGTAGAGGAGAGGGGTTATATATCTTGTTATTTTTTCACGCGGCTTATTTTGTATATTCTGAACGCCGTACTTTATAAATTTTAAAACCGTACTTTATAAGCGAGTAGCGCCGTGATTTAAAGTTTTAAAATAGAAAGATTATAATTTCTAAAGGCCGTACTTCTAATTTAGAACCAATTTTTAATTTAATTCATTTTCATTACACTATTTTGTTGGAAAAACTCACTCGAAACATATCCATAATATACTTCTTTACCTGTACTTTTAACTGTTCACACACTTCGTTATTTTAGCTTATGCGGTTATCATTAAAAAATATAATTTACAAAATATCAAATTGCTACATATGACAATTTTAAAAGTCAAAACTACGCATTAATACACGGTCTATATTTTTTCCCAAGTTTGTGGTGTAAGATGATGCGTTATATATTGCACGTAGACTGTGAAAATGTTTATCAAAACATGTTTGCTTAACGTGACTGTTTTTGTTTTTTTATTACAAAATGTGAAACGTTATTTAAGATGCGCAAATATTTTAATTTCGACCATCTTTATCTACTGTAAGAGTCAAATTTTTGTGGTGCTACAAGTAGTGGATGAAGACAGAAACCTGGGTTAAATTTATCATTACAATTACAAAAACTCTTGAAACGGTACTTTTTAAGGGATATCGAAGTATAAAACAAAAATCGTTAGTTTAGATTAAAAAATTTTAATTCAAGACAATTACTTCGAAATTTTTTGATGTCTTTAAGATGACCCCAAAAATATGCGGAGGATACGTTTATTTCCAACAAAAAAATAATCAAATAAATAAAGGCGCAAAGTAAAATTCTTCAGTGTTTCTAAGAAGCCATTTAACGAATTTGCGTAAAAGTTCGCCGAAACACTAACATTGATTAAGTGATTAGTTACCAAACTCATTTATTTATTCATGTATTCATTGATCCGCGGCAATTCCAAGACTCGCGAAGCCATAAAATAACGAGATCCCACGTCCAAAATTTCACAATTTAATCGAAAATTATCACACTTCTGAGAAAAACGCGTTCCACCTGGAAGAACATTTCTCTTTGTCAAGCTTAGACATGTGCGAATCCACACCTACGTGGGTGATTGAGTAATAGTTGAAATGAGTTTAT